TAGCACTGGACACGCCCACCCAGTCATGCCCCTCACTGTAACCCCGCCCCCAGCTGTGTGACGTATATAGGCACGGCCGCCCACTTTATACCCTTTTGCCGCCAGGCGGCGCCACCGCGCGTCGCACGGCGGTGACGTCAGAAGCGTGCGTGCCGTGTGTCAGCCATGGCCGTGGCAGGAGTGTCGGGGGGACCGGCCCGGGCCATCGGCCCCCATCTGGGCCCAGAGCGGCGGCGGGCGCGGTGCACGCTGGTGAGGGGGCGAGGGGGGATCCCACGGAATCGGGAGCGGTTCCCGCCGCAGGCTCCAGCGTGGCGGGGCCTGGCGTGGCCCCCGCCATTCCTGCAGCGCTGCCAGAGCATCCCGGGGCCGTTTGAGGCCTCTCCCGGCGCTTCCCGGGGGCGGTTATGGAACCCCCGCACACCCCCAGAGGGTGGGGAGGGGAGGGATCTGGGGGAACACTGGGGGAGCCCCGGAACCCCCGCGAGGGGCCGGTCACATTCCTGCCCTTTCCCATTCCAGGCTCCCTCCGGGAACCCAACCCCGTTGGAAGCCACCGGGAAGGAGGAGGTGGATTCAGAGGCCCTGTCACCGAAACTGACGTAATTGCGGTTAATTAAGGCTGTCTCATTAACGCTGCCGAGGGCTCGGCCCCTCGCGCGGGGCTGAAATCCCGCGGGAATGCCGTGGCTGGGACGCAGACCTGTCCCCCATCCCGGGGGATCGCTCCAGTCGCAGCGTGTCCAGGTGAGCTGTCGCTGCTCTGCCCCGTCCCTCATTCCCTCATTCCTCTGGAATTCCCTCTGCTGCCCCGGGGGGGCTGGGATCCCACGGGGGTGCTGGGCGGGGGTGGCTCTGGGACCTCCCCGGTGACCCCCTGGGCTGTGGGGCCGCCTTCCCTCGCTCCAGCCGCGCCTTCCCAGAACTCCCCGTTGTTGTGGAGAGCCCGGGATCGGCCGTGGCCGGGATCCCACAGCCCCTCCCGCCGCAGGCTCCAGCGTGGGGGGGCCTGGCGTGGCCCCTGCCACTCCTGCAGCGCTGCCAGAGCATCCCGGGAATGTTTGAGGCCTCTCCCGGCGCTTCCCGGGAGCGGTTATGGAACCCCCGGACACCCCTGATCCAGGGGGAGGGGGGGAACCGCTGGAAGCCCCAGGCAGGGCCGGTCACCTCCTGCCCTTTCCTGTTCTAGGCTCCTGCTCCAGCGATCCAGAGGGATTGGGGAAGGCCCAGGAAGGAGGTGCAGTGCTCCTGTCACCCTAATTAACCCAGCTGTAGGTAATTAAAGCTGGAACCCCCCAAGAATGCTGACCTGGGACCCCCCTGCCTAGGGTAGGGCTGTCACCTGCCCGGGCCTGGGCAGCTCATCCCACCCTCGTCCCACCGGGATTCATCTGCAGGATGAATGGAGGGAGCAGCTGGGGCAGTGGGGCACTTTCCCTGGGGGAGAATGTGGGTCCAGCTGCCCCAGAACCAGGACATTAAACGTGAACCTGTGATTTTCACCACTGAGAGCCTTGTTCTCCTTCTGGTTTAGATAAAACTGGGATAAAATGGGATTGGGGGAGGGGCTCCAGGTGCTGTGATGGGGATTCCCAGGGGAGCAGGGACCCTCCTGTGTCCCCCTGTCCCTGACAGGCCCAAGGTCTCCTGGACTCGCTGTGTCTGTGTCCCAGGTCCTGATGTCCTTAAACCCACTGTCCCGGTGTCCCTGGATCCCGATTTCCCCAAGTCTCTGTGCCCACATTCTGGGGTCCCCGTGCCCGAAAAACTGGGACAAGTGGGCTGGGCAAACTGGGAATGGAGTGGGCAGAAGGTGGCTCTGGTCCCTCTGGGATCTGGGGAGCTCCTAAGGGGCTGCTCCTGTGCCAGAGCTCATCAGATCCTTCAGATGGGATCATTCAGTTAATGGGCCAAGTGAGTCAGGTAATGGGGCAGATAAATTAATGGATCGAATCACTCAATTAACGAGTTCAATAAAGGAAGGGAATATCGTAAAGACTCCATTTTGTGATTGTTCTACATTGTTGGAAAAGGCCTGGGGGGAGGATGGAGCATCCCTGGGACCACCCGGGGGTCCTGGAGGCCACAATATACCTCCCGTCAGGGAGGTGAGGACAGGGATAATTAAGGGGATAATTAACAGGGCAATTAGCGGCGCCCGCGCGCGGAGGGTTTGGCAGGGCCTGGCACTCGCGGTTGCCATGGCAGCCGGCCCTCGGGGCGGAGCTTAGCCATGACAACACCCGTCTCTTCCAATCAGCGCTCGCGGCGTCGCCATGGTTACACCCGTATCGTCCAATCAGCGCCTGAAGTGTCACCATGGTCACATCCACTTCCGCCTATCAGCGAGGGCTGCGTCGCCATGGCAACAGCTCTGCTCCCGCCCTGCGATGGGTGGGGCGTCGCCATGGCAACGGCCCCGGAAGTGTCGCGCGGACTCGGTGTCCCGTGAGCCCCCGCGCGGTTCCGGCGGGCCGGGATCGGGATCAGCGGGATCGCCGGGATCAGCAGGATCACCGGGAGCGGGGCCGGGAGCGGCCGCGCCGCCATGGAGGCCGTGCCTCGCATGCCCATGATCTGGCTCGACCTCAAGGAGGCCGGCGAGTTCGCCTTCAACGCCGCCGTCAAGAAGGTGGGGCCTGAGGGGGCGGGAGGGGCAGGGCTGGGAGGGGCAGGGGGGGCTGTGGCCCGGGGGTCACGGCTCCGGGGCGAGCTGGGGGTCCATGAAGCGCTGAGGGTCGTTCGGGGTCTGGCAGGGAGGGGAGCGCTTGGAGAGGTCTTGGCACAGGGGAGGGCTCGGAGCCTGGTCCAGGGGGCTCGGGGGGTGTTTGGGGTCTGTGAGGCTCCGGGGTGCCCAGGGAAGGGCAGAGCGGCGGGGGGG